AAACAAACCAGATAGTGTGGCCAAAATAGGTGTTTTTTCACTGACAGAAATCAGGATGTTTGATACTCGCTTGGCCCCCTATAAATATGGTCACATACTCAAACACTAAAGACCTAAAACACTCACAAACCCTAGTTTTACTCTTCTACTAGCAGTGACGACATATCTTACTATTCTACTTCCAGTGATATTGAAGAAGAGATTTCTCCAACTTTTGAAGTGATTATGACTGATTCATGCACTTAAAATTCAACCTAATTCTACCTACATACTACTAAAACGGTTGGGAATAATAAATGCTTCATAGTAACTAAATGTGAGTATTTTAGTTCTTAGTTTGAACTGATTATAATGTTATGAAGTCTTTCACTTCTAATCACATTTTCTTAGTGTAGTCCGATAAAATGAAGTAACAATAAAATGAAGAAATATTTAACAATGATAATTATTATCTCACATGTTTAAATTATTACAAAACAACGTCAAAAAATTCAAAAAAATCTATATCAAATCAAATTAAATAAGATTCAAACTTAAATCATCTCAAACTAAACGGTCAAGTCTTCTATCTCTCAGTCTGCTTCATCGTTAAGATCAGGCAAGCTACTGTGTGCTTGTACTGTTGCATCATCTTGCTGTATAGAGTAAATAACACTAATAAGCAATGTATTTTTCGGAAAAAAATATAATAATAATTTGTTATACTTTACCTCAATTCCTTCCGCTAGCCCAGTATTTCCACCACCTCTACCGCCACCTCTACCACGGCCTCTACCACGGCCTCTACCACCACCTCTACCACCACTTCTACCACCACCTCTGCCAACACCTCTAGCACCACCTCTACCACCACCTCTACCCCTCCTATTATCTCTAACTCCACTTCCACCAGCCGTTTGTGAACTTCTAAAGTATGAATCAATTCACCCTCTATATCTATTCAACCTTGGACGTCCACGAGAAGCTACGTATCTAGGATCTCTTATATATCTTCCTTCACCATCACCCTCACCCTCACCCTCACCTTCACCCCCACCCTCACCCACACCATCATGTGTATCTTCAAATTCCCAATCTGGAATTATCATTTGATCATCATCCCAATTCAAAAGGTCATGCTCCAATCTGTTCAAATGATACTTAATATATCGCCTCATCACTTCAGTGTCCAATGCTATATCACAAACCCGTTCAAAATGCTTTAATAGTTCCCTGTACATCATGTATTCAGAAGTCATACGTGGGTAACCTCCAAGAAAGAAACGTTTCAAGTGCGGACGAACAACATCTTTTCTCCACCTTCTCAATATATACCTCTCATTAACATTATTAATCCTCTTATGAGACAACACCTTAAGTATATGGTAGCATAGAATACCTCTTGTTTCAAACCACTTGCAGCTGCAACTTAGATATTCGCCAATAGGTGTATATTCAACCGCGAATACAAATGGATCTCTAGTGTTAAAACTCCTGAACGAATAATCTGAGATAATGTAATTCTCCACCCCAGCTGTTGCTTGATGGTCTTCATGGGAGATGATTTCACAGTGGTACAGTTTCCTTAACTGTACTTGAAAAAATTCAAACACTTCACGAGTATAACATGTTTGAAATTTTTCCTCCCATGCAAATTCAGATAAACATTTTGGTTCCAAGCACCTTGACCTATATTCAGCTTCCAATTCTTTCTCGAACTTAGCTCTTATGGCTAACTCATATTGCTGAACAAATAGCTTCAAAGTGCTTTGCAGGTTGATGAATCCGTCAAAGAAAGCATGCATTCCTTCACTTCTTTGTGTGGACAACATCCCAGCCCAAAAGTGGCCATTTAGGTATACCGGAACCCATTTCTCCTTCTCCAAATAAAGCTTATAAAACCAATCCCTTTCCTCTAAGTTATATTTTTCAATAAAATCAGTCCATCGTCTCTCAAACTCAGCAACGTTAATGCTATCAAGGACTAAAGCCATAAATTCTACCTTTGCAATCTTACCATCAAGAACTCCGCTTAACTTTGTAGGCAACTTTGCGAATATGTGCCATATACAATATCTATGTATTGTATTTGGCATCATAGCACTGATGGCAGCCTTTATACTATCACATTGGTCAGTCATGATAGCTAATGGATGAACATTGTTTAGAGCCCCAAGCCATGTAGATAGCACCATTTTGTAACTTGTTATATCCTCACTAGACATAAGAGCACATCCCAAAAGTATGGACTGCCTATGCTGATTGACACCAACAAATGAAGCAAATGGCATATTGTATCGATTCACAAGGTATGTGGTATCAAGGCATATTACATCATGGAACTCCTCATATGCAACCTTAGAGTGTGAATGAACCCATACGACATTACGAAGTCGACCAAAACTATCTACATCTACGGAGTAGTAAAATTCCCTATCTTTTTGCTGCATGTCACTGAAGAACTTGAGTAATGATTGTGCATCCCCTTCTTGCAACTGAAGCTTTCTACTCTTCAAGATATAATTTCTACAGTCCTTTGGTGTACAACCCAGATTTTCGGGGCCACCAGCAAGTACTTCAGCGACTCTTATATTTTTTTAGGGTCTTAAGCCAGCAATATCTTTGGCTGCAAGAGTTCTCTTAAGAGACTTGCTAAGCGATCTGTGTTCAGCCATCAATCGCGATAGTGCTGGTTCCAATTAATGATTATGTTTTTTTACCACCTTTGAAACACGCCATGAACCATTCTCCTCCAAAATTCCATTTATTCTAGCACGGCAGTTCTTCCTCTTGGTAACATGCTTATTCCTTGGTTTCCTAGACCTATCACAACCATATTGCACATACCTAACAATATCACCACCTTTTTTGTTGGACGTTCTTTTGACAATGCAAAAACCCGATAATCTTGCATGTTCTTTGTAAAAATCAAACAGAACATCCTTACTACTGAACCGCATCCCAGTAATTGGACCAATTATAAGATCTTCTTCATTGAACTCATTAGGCATTTCCCTGTCCTCTCCAACTTCTTCCTCTTCCTCTAAATAATGGTCGTCGTAATCATCATCATCATCATCATCAGCAGCAGCAGCAGCAGCAGCAGGAGCAGCAGCATCGTCAACAGGATTTTCTCCATCATTGAAGTTGTCGTCTGAATCAATGTCGATCGATTCATCTTCATTCATCAAACTGTCGTCCGAATTCAACCCTAATGATATGTGTAATGCATTCCTTAGTTGATCCGAGCTAGTTTCTAGACTGTTATTCGGGTTTAATGGGTCCAAACTAGTTTCTCGATTAGTATTTCATGTTTAGGTTAAGGGAAGTCTGGTGAATTATGTGTTTAATGAAAGCTATCTTAACATAAGTATATGGTATGATATATACATAATAGACCTTTGATCTTCCCATCCGTATAAATTGCATTTAATTAAAAAAAATACGTAATTGTATTTAACAAAAATACGTAATTATATTTTTAAAAAAACATAATTGAGCATATATACGAAGGCTGCCATCCGTATATACGAGGCTTTTTATCTTCCCATGCTGAGAGAATGATGATTTTTGGGATCAATGTTTTGGAATAATCAAAAGTTATTAACTAATTTTGGAGGGAAAAAAGGGCCATTAAGCCAAACGGAAAAACAAGGGCATTACTGGCATTTCACGGGTGTGGTCATTTTTGGGCCACGCTGAGTTTGGCCGAATAGCAGCACTCTTTCATTTATTATACAAGCCTTTTATCTGAGTTGATAACATGCATGTGTATTACTCTTTCCGGATTCATTTATTGTGACATAGATTTAGAAATTGCCTTCTTTGGTGTAAAACTGGAGCATGTATCTAAGTAATAGTTGAAATTTAGGTTTGGATAAAGCATTCATGTCATCACACTTCAAATTAGACTCTTTTCTGAGGTTCTAAGATGTTGCATACATATATACAGGTACAGGTGTAATTGTATATCTATTTCTTTTTCTTTTGGAGGGGTGGGGGTTAGACAAGGAGATTCCTATATAAACCAAGATATGAAGATGGAAAGCACGTTTTATTTACAATCTTCAAGCTTTTTATCAGATAACCGACAAAGAGTCGAGTGTCCACACAAACAACTCAATGATTGTTCAAGTACACCATAATTCTCGTGGTTGAGATATTTATCTGTTAAAACCAGGAACAAATATCGTTAAAATAGCATGGTCTAGCCAGTTTTCGGACTGGTCATTCAAAAATAGCCAGCGTTTATCAAGTCAATGAAAAATAGCCACTATTTTGCTGCAACAGAGACCAGTCCAGCATAATATAGTGGAGTTCGGTGCACCTGTGTATGAACTTCCAGCATATTATGCTGGAACTCCAACACACGGAAAGTTCCAGCATAATATACTGGAGATTCGAGCACTTGTGTAGGAACTTCCAGCATATTATGCTGGAACTCCAACACACGGAAAGTTTCAGCATAATATACTGGAGATTCAAGCACTTGTGTATGAACTTCCAACATATTATACAGGACCATTATACTTTGCTGGAACTCCAGTATATTATGCTGCAGTTCTAGTGTACTTATGCTGGAACTCCATCATATTATGCTGGAGTTCCAGCATACTTATCCAGGAACTCCAGTATAATATGCTGGAGTTCAAGTTATGCTGGAACTCCAGCATAATATACTGGCGTTTTTCCGGGGTTTGAACAGTGTTTTCGCTCAGATTTATCTTTACATGAAAAGTGGCTAAATTTCGATTACTTTTGAAACTGGGCTATTTTTGAACGACCACTTGTTAATCTGGCTATTTTTGAATTTCTCCCAGAAATATCTGTAGAATCGGGTTTGTGAACGTCCCATCAATTTTTCAATTGAAGAATCCCCAGATGACTCATTTAAGTTTAAAAAAAATATTGGAGAAGTCTCGGTGCATACTCGATTTTAATGAGAGTAGCAAATTCTCTTGGTCTAAAGCGAAACAGTGTACATTGAGATTCTACTGAAACAAATAACCATCTTATGCCAGCTTTCACAAAAGTAATGCAAGTAACAAGCATCTGCACCACCTTCATCACATTAAGATGTGTAAATACAGATAATTTTCTCAGAGATCTGGCATGCCTTTTCCTGTTTTTGGATCATATGTCCTCTCCATGACCACCTCCATTGGAGTATCCTTGGGACCAGCTGCACAACGAAAAGGAGAACATCCAGAAGAAAGAGGATCAGACGTCAGCCGAATACACACAAAAATTGACCCTGGAAGAGTAATCAAACATCTTAAATTTGGTAGAACCAACTCTATGAAATATTTCCTTCAAGTCAAATGAAGGAACGCGGTATGCAACAATGACAAGCACCATCTACTCACAGCAAAAAGAATACTTAAGTCGCACACCTCAGGAACCATCCATCATCACTCAGCACACATATTTCTCAAAGTGCGCAACCCAATCCCCAAGCCGTTCCCAGCTTCAACCTTCCATATTCCCAAATAGTATGCCCACAGGAAAGTAACAGAAGAATAAACCAAATTATTGATCTCCCCAGATCCACGCTTCATCTAAATTTGACTTACAATATAATTTTAGGTTACGCTTCTTAAAACCGCAGCATAACATGTCATGCATATTTCAACAATTTGTCTTAAATGAAACCTATCCTACATTAAGCTGCATCATGAAGTTGTGTCTACAATTGATTCTTAGCTTTTTAAAGTTTTAAGCTTTAATTTCTTCTTCCAGTTGAAATCAGATTATACCATTAAGGCTATAAACAGAAATATTTTTTTTAAGAACCCATCCCCAACAACTCTTCAAAAAGAAAAAAAAAAAAAAGAAAGAAACAGAGAGAAGAAACATACGGCATATACTACGTTTAAGATGCACCAGAAATACTCATCTAGAAGCATATACTCAGGTGAAGGTGAGAGAATTTGATAATTACCAACTGTAGGCCTTGGTGTGGCCCTTATTTTTAAGATATCAGGCCGGGGAATAATACCTGACGCTCCTATACCTCTTGAGACTCTTACTTTGGAGCCATCCTCTTGGTATCTAATTCCGACCTTTGATGGTTTCCTGTGGAAGATGACATGAGCTACCACCATGTTCTACGAGCAAAACACATTTGGTAAGAGAAAAATAAATACATGCATACCCTGTGACTGGATCTACAACCTGAACATTGGATACATGCAGCGGGGCTTCAACTGTAAATATTCCACCTTCATGACCTTGCCTTTGTTTAATATGTTTCTTGACCTGCAAAAGGGCATATAATACAGTAAGGGTTTGTTTTGTTTTACATACTAATTATGTTTTTGATAAAATAACGTAATTTTATTTATAAACAGTACCAAGTGGGTATCGAAATATGTAGCAAAGTAAGTGATTTGTCCTCTGCCAAAGCTTTAGAAAGTCTAACTAAGGCCAAAATATTTGCCATGTTAGATAAAGAATCTCCAACAGTCTAAATATATTGTTTACATAAAAAGAATAGCTTGAAGCACTTAGTCGATCAACAGCTCCTTTCCTTAATACAGCTATCACTAAGTGCGATGGTGAACGAGTTACTTGTCTAAAACACCACCAACTGATTCTTGCTTGCTGTTTACAAATAATCCAATCCGTGGAGAGGTTGTCTTAAAGTTCTTACTAGTGAAGCAGACTCCTACAGCTAGCTATATCTCAACAATCTTGATGTCGATTCCTCCCACATATTTTGACAAACACTACTAAAAATCCGGAAAAAAGCGACCAAGTCTGTCAGGAAAAGCGACCAATGTTGGTCGCTAAATTGGAGAAAATAATTAAATAATTATTTTAAATACATTAGCGACCAAGATTGGTCGCTTTTTGGTCGCTAATTTGGTCAAAATGTTGACCGGACTGGTCAGACTTGCTTGGTCAAAGAAATGCTGAAATTAGCGACCAACTTTGGTCGCTAAAGTGGGACCCACTTATAAAATTTTAATAATTATATTATTATTTAAAATTTTTTTATAAAATATAAATAAATATAATTCAAAATTAGCGACCAAAGTTGGTCGCTCACG